GTAAAGCATTACAGCGCAATTGCATTGCATACAATAAAGAGACAACCATATGGCTCCTGCCAGTTGCCGATAACTTGGTTACAAAACATGATCATCTCATACAATAAAATTTACCATCATGTCTTGACCATATCACATCACAACATGCCCTGCAAAAACAAGTTAGATGTCCTCTACTTTGTTGTTGCAAGTTTTAAGTGGCTGCTACGGGCTTAAGTAAGAACCAATCTTAACTACGCATCAAAACCACAACGATAGTTTGTCAAGTTGGTGCTGTTTTAACCTTCGCAAGGACCGGGCATAGCCACACTCGGTTCAACTAAAGTTGGAGAAACTGACACCCGCTAGCCACCTTTGTGCAAAGCACGTCGGGAGAACCGGTCTCGCGTAAGCGTACGCGTAATGTCGGTCCGGGCCGCTTCGTCCAACAATACTGCCGAACCAAAGTATGACATGCTGGTAAGCAGTATGATTTATATCGCCCACAACTCACTTGTGTTCTACTCATGCATATAACATCAACACATAAAACCTAGGCTCGGATGCCACTGTTGGGGAACCTAGTAATTTCAAAATTTTCCTACGCACATGCAAGATCATGGTGATGCATAGCAACGAGAGGGGAGAGTGTGATCTACGTACCCTTGTAGACCGACAGCGGAAGCGTTAGCACAACGCGGTTGATGTAGTCGTACGTCTTCACGGCCCGACCGATCAAGCACCGAAACTACGGCACCTCCGAGTTTTAGCACAAGTTCAGCTCGATGACGATCCCCGGACTCCGATCCAGCAAAGTATCAGGGAAGAGTTCCGTCAGCACGACGGTGTGGTGACGATCTTGATGTTCTACCGTCGCAGGGCTTCGCCTAAGCACCGCTACAATATTATCGAGGATTATGGTGGAAGGGGGCACCGCACACAGCTAAGAAAATGATCACGTGGATCAACTTGTGTGTCTAGGGGTGCCCCCTACCTCCGTATATAAAGGAGCAAGGGGAAGAGGCCGGCCGGCCCTATTGGCGCTCCAAGGAGGAGTCCTCCTCCTAGTAGGAGTCCTACTCCTACTAGGAGGGGGAAAGGAAGTGGGGAGGGAGAAGGAAAGGGGGGCGCCCCCCCCCCCCTCTCCTAGTCCAATTCGGACCAGGGGGGAGGAGGCGCGTGGCCCACCCTGGCTTCCCTTCTCTCTCTCCACTAAGGCCCATATGGCCCATTACTTCTCCTGGGGGGTTCCGGTAACCCTCCGGCACTCTTGTTTTCTCCGAAATCACCCGGAACACTTCCGGTGTCCGAATATAGCCGTCCAATATATCAATCTTTATGTCTCGACTATTTCGAGACTCCTCGTTATGTCCGTGATCACATCCGGGACTCCGAACTAACTTCGGTACATCAAAACTCATAAGCTCATAATATAACTGTCATCGAAACCTTAAGCGTGCGGACCCTACGGGTTCGAGAACAATGTAGACATGACCGAGACATGTCTCCGGTCAATAACCAATAGCGGAACCTGGATGCTCATATTGGCTCCCACATATTCTACGAAGATCTTTATCGGTCAGACCGCATAACAACATACGTTGTTCCCTTTGTCATCGGTATGTTACTTGCCCGAGATTCGATCGTCGGTATCTCAATACCTATTTCAATCTCGTTACCGGCAAGTATCTTTACTCGTTTCGTAATACATCATCTTGCAACTAACTCATTAGTTGCAATGCTTGCAAGGCTTATGTGATGTGTATTACCGTGAATGCCCAGAGATACCTCTCCGACAATCGAAGTGACAAATCCTAATCTCGAAATATGCCAACCCAACATTTACCTTTGGAGACACCTGTAGAGCTCCTTTATAATCACCCAGTTACGTTGTGACGTTTGGCAGCACACAAAGTGTTCCTTCGGCAAACGGGAGTTGCATAATATCATAGTCATAGGAACATGTATAAGTCATGAAGAAAGCAATAGCAACATACTAAACGATCGGGTGCTAAGCTAATGGAATGAGTCATGTCAATCACATCATTCTCCTAATAATGTGATCACGTTAATCAAATGACAACACATGTCTATGGTTAGGAAACATGACCATCTTTGATTAACGAGCTAGTCAAGTAGAGGCATACTAGTGACGTTTAGTCTGTCTATGTATTCACACAAGTATTATGTTTCCGGATAATACAATTCTAGCATGAATAATAAACATTTATCATGATATAAGGAAATAAAATAGTAACATTATTATTGCCTCTAGGGCATATTTCCTTCAGTTTAGCACGCGTGCAACCCGGCGGATGGCTCCAGCAGGCGCGCAATAACCGCGCGCGCGGTATAAGGAGTTGGGCGCGCGGTCGGAATCGCTATCTCGCGCGGTGTATTTGGGGCGCCCGCTTCCGCGCGCGGCACAGTCGAGCGCTCGCGCTGCACTCTGTCTTCTCCACCTCCTACGCCTCGCGCGCGCCGGCGCCGGCGAACTGCACCCATGGACGTGCGTGCTGGCACCCCGCTCACCCCATCCTATAGCCGCGACCCCTCCACCGCCGCCGCCGCAAACTCTAGCCCGGGTGGCGTTGGCCTCGCCTCCGCCGGAGCTCCTCCGACCATCGGCCTCGCGCGCGGCCTCTTCATGCCACCGCGGATGACCTCGGCGGCGGGCGGCGTCGCGCTGGCGCCGGCCCGAGCCGCCGCCCCCTCCTCATCAAAGCTCCCCAATGCGGCGCGTCCAAAGAAGGGGAAGACATCGGCGAAGAAAAACAAGGCGGCGGACGGCTCCGGCACCTCCAAGGCAAGGAGGAAGAAGCTTGCAGGGTGTGCGACGGGCGCAGCGGCTACCGAAGCGCCGGCAAGCTCACTCGTTAAGCCGGCGGCCGACGCGCACAACATGTTTGAGAAAATGCCCCCAAATTAAAAAAATCCAATTTGTCATTTTTTGTTATTTTTTTCAATGCATTCACATATAGATAGCTTATTTGCACTGTTCAAAAAACTTTGTAGTCTCAATGATGATGCATACATGTCAATGATGGGTGTTAGCTCCAACAATTCGCATTGGTCTCAAACCAATGACATGCACTTCAAAGACCATGAGTTCGAGGTGGACGAGGAGGGTGAGGGCATTGTCGACGCACCGAAAGGAAGAGCGGGCAATTACACCAACGTCGATGACATCTTACTATGCAATATTTGGTTGCAAGTGTCGAGGGATCCATCTGTTGGAGGTGATCAAAGTAGAGATGCTTATTGGGGGCGGATGAAAGAACACTTTGATGTTCACAACTTGAGTGGAATTGACCGCTCCGAGAGATCACTACGGTCCCGATGGTCGACCATCAACTCGGATTGTCAAAGGTGGGCGGCCTGTCAAAAGGCGGTTGACAAGTTGAACCCAAGTGGCACAAATGAGGACGATAGAGTAAGTGGCAATTCATACATGTTCATCATACTTGTTGTTGGTGCTAACTTGCTTTGTTTTCATGTAGTACAACATTGCACAAAACTTGTTCAAAGAAGAGGAGAGGACAACCAAGAAGGGGAAGATCAAGAAAGGAAGGGTCTTTACCTTGCCCCATTGCTATAACGTGTTGAAGGATGATGAGAAATAGAAGAAGCGTGAAGATTTGGATGATTTGCATTTGAGCAACAAACGCAAGCGAACAATTAAGTTGGATGATGATGAGGAGGAGGATGATGCATCAAGTGATGACGGCAAGAGAAGCCCCACACCCAACTCGGTTTCATACTCAAAGCCAAAGCGACCGGATGGGTGCAAGAAAGACAAAACCGAAAAGAAGAAGAGGAAAGGAGATGATGAGCTCAAAAATGCTATGGAAGCTATTGTGAAGGCAAGAAAAGAAGCCAACGAGGTGAGGAAAATGGCAAGGAACCAAGATGCCGCGGCCGAGGAGAGGAGGTTGGCGGCCGAGGAGAGGAGGGTGGCGGCCGAGGAGAGGAAGGTGGCTTTGGAGGAGAGAAAGATGAGCAATGAGGAGCGAACAAGATTGTTGGAATGGGAGAAGCACTTGTTCTTCTTGGACACATCTAACCTCAATGTGATGCAAAAGGAGTATGCCAATCTTGCCCGTGAAGAAGTCTTGATCCAAAAAAAAGCCATGGTTCGTGCAATGGGTGGCGGTGGCCTCGGCGCCATGGGTGGCGGTGGCATCGGCGCCATGGGTGGCATGGGTGACTTTGGAGGTACCGTGGGCGGTGCAATGGGAGGCATGGCTGGTTTTGGAGCACCCCCGACGCTATGGCCACCATGGGAGGCATGAGTTTTGCTTCTCTCATGGGAGGCATGAGTGCACCTCCGGCCGCCATGGACGGAATGCCTTTTGATGTGCCTCCTCGCACACATTCTCACGAAGATGCCGTTGAAGATCTTGCCAACACCGTCGGAGTTTCACGTGATGCGGTGCGCGATGAGGAGAGGGAGGAAGATTCATCTTCGGAGGCGGAAGAATCGTCTTCCGAAGATGACGAGGACGAAGACGGGGACGAGGAATGATGTGTCTTTCATTTGTGTATTGAACTTGATTTGCATTTTGAACTTGGTTGGATGAACTTGTGGGCATGAACTTTTCTTCATTAACTTTTGTGTGAAATTTTATATGTCATGTTCATTGCATTTTGAATGTTCCAACTTCATTTTGTGTTTAAAATGACATATATGCAATGCACCGGCGAGTTACGCGCGCTGCATTTTTTGCGCGCTGCTGGAACGGCGCGCACTACATTTTAACGTGGCTGCTGGAACCAGCGCTGCGCGCCGCGCCAAACCAAACGATGCGCGCGCAGCAAAGCAGTTTTTTGCGTGCGGCGCGTTCGGCGTCTGTTGGAGATGCTCTCAGAATGTACCATCAGCAGCAAGCAAGGCAGAGGCATCTTAACTGAAGTTGGCATCACAAAATAACCATGCAAAGCTGCTAGTACATGCAATTAGCATGTTAAACATTACAATTACGCTGCCAATTTGTTTCATCTACAAAAAAAGAATGTAGCAATTAGCAAGGGTAGAGGGCCTGGAGGGTAGGATGCAAGCACGGCGAGCTCCGCCACGCCCTGGCGTGCAGCCGGAGCGTCTCCCGTGCCCGCTCCCTCGTCCTCTCGTCGCACCACTGCCACTCCTCCTCCGGCACCGACGCCGCCACCAGGCACAGCTTCCCCACCGCGCCCGTCGCTGCCATCTCCTGCACCACCGCCACCGTGGCCGTGTGCCGGGCGATTGATCGGAGCACCCGCACCGCCTTCGTGCTAGCCGCCATCGACGCCCCGGCCACCCACGCGCCCACGGCTGCCACGCCGGCTCCGTGCGCCACCAGCGCTGCGCGGCCCTCCGCGCACCCGCACAGCCGGTTCAGCGCGCACAGCGCCAGCTCGCACCACGCACGCCGCCGCTCGCCGTTCACGAGCAGCAGCATGTCCACGAGCGCAGCCACCGCGCCGGCCTCCGCTGCCTTCACTCGGTTCCGCCCGTGGGCGGTCGCGCCTGCAAGCACCCGCAGCGCCGCCTTGGTCGCCATCGAGGTCGAGGCGCCCATGCCGTCGTCGCCGCGGAGCAGCCGCACAGCCTCGACGAACGCCTGCTCCGGGAGCGACGCCGCCCTGCTCGGCGACATGCACGCCATCACGTCCGCCAGGAGCACGGCTGCGCGTGCCCGGGACGCCGCATCCGCGTCGGGGCCGGAGTGTCCCTGCAGGGTGGAGACGAGCGCGCCGACCAGCGCCGCGCCATCCCTGTCGACGGCGCGCGCCAGGCACCGCTCCGGGAGCCGGAGCGAGGAGATGACGTCGAGTGCCGCGGCGGAGTTCTCTGGCGCGGACGTCGCAGACGAGACGAAGACGTCGAGCAGCGCGTCCGCCGAGCCGGGTACGGCGGCGACGAGTTCCCTACCGCGCTCGCCCTCCGCCACGACGTCCCTAAGCTCGCGGAGCGCAGCGAGGGCCTCTTGCGACGGTCTCTTGTTCTTCGCGTCGGCGAGACGCGACACCAGCGCGGCGAGGTGGGCGCAGTCCGCAGGGGCCGACTTCATCGTATGGTCGACGGCGTCGTCGGGGCGGTGGAGGGCGCACCAGGAGCGGATGAGGCGGCAGAGCGTGTGGTTGGGCGTGGGCTCGCAGTCCGGCGCGACGGGCAGCTTGGTGAGCGGGCAGGAGGCGGCGAGGCGGAGCCAGCGGTGGATGGCGTGGCGGTCGTAGGTGATGCCGGTGGGGAGCGTGACGGGGTCGCGCATGACGTCCAGCGTGATGGGGCACACGAAGTAGGACGGAACCTCCACCTCCTCCATTACAACACCGAAGCAATCGCTCAAGCAACCAAGGGCCTTCTTCTCCTCCTCCTTCTAGCTGTTGCAATGGTGGTGGTGAGACTGGTGGGCTGAAGAGGAGGAGAATGAGAGAGAGCAATGGCGGATCGATGGCTATGAGCGGTTGATGCTGGAGATATAGTGGGAAGAAATCCTTGACAAAACGGAGTTTTTTATAGTATACGCGTGAGATCGAGATGGATGTAGATAGGGGAGGAGATCGGATTCAAACTCAAGGACGTGTGCAGGTCTGCATGGTTTGGTTTGGTCAGTCCACTCTATCTCTATCCTTCTTCTTGGAAGGAGACCGACTGATTTCCTGACCATTAAACAATTCTTTTTTAAATAAATCCACGCGGAACAGCGTGTTTTGTATGTTTTCCTCTTGTTTTCTTTGCCGCATCGTGTCCGAATATTGACGTTGTGCTGTCCTAATCGGAAGTTGCATATGAGGCGCCCAGAGACGCCAAGCAGAACCGACAGAGAGTTGACAAAGCGAAGAGCCTGGGTCTGATTTTTCTACCATGCATGCACGGGATGCATCCACGGTACCTAGCTGCTTTGAGATTCGTGCGACATTTTCTGATTTTTGACAAAATTTATGTAAGTATCAACGAATTACATTATGTTTTGTGGGTGTTTCTTGTTTCGAAGTGTACCCTATTGTTTTCAGGAAACTAATGCACTGGTTGATCAGCTAGGTTTCTCTACCTTCTGTCGACGTCGCCGTCGGTCCGTCTCGCCTCTTGTGGCCTTAGGATCATGGGAGCGGAGTGGATCCCGGCCCTTGCCGGTTGGAGGGTTCTATTTTTACATCTTTCTTCGAGTTTTTTAGGATTTGCGTCCTACCCAGGAAGGCGAGACAGCGGTGGCTCCGTGAAGATGGAATAAGTTTCTCCCCGCCTAGCCCCCGTTCCGATGGTGCATCTAGCATCATCGGTGAGTGTGTGGAGATGTGTCTCCGACGGATCTGTCTTTGATGGATTTGCTCGTATCTGGTCGTCATTCGTCTACGCTCCAGTGTCGTCAGATTGGATCCTTTTGATCTATGATTCTCTTCATCCCGCGGGGGTTGATGTTCTGTTGAGTTGGTATTATGGGGCCTTAGCAGTTAGCATGACAACTTCCCTATTGTCTACTACAACAAGTTTTCCCCAGCTCTGACGAGGGAGGGATGATGACAGTAGCGCGTCCTCGGCTTGCTTCAATGCTTGTAATCATTACTAGGTGGTTTAAAGTTTTCTCAAAAAAAAAAAAAAACTAGTGCACTCGGTTTTCATGGATACGTTTTTTTAAAGGGCCTGGCTATTTGTAAGTTCGCCCAGTAAATTTTGATGCAACTCGACTTTCTTTTAACACTGCATCTTCATTGTATTGCTATGGTGTGTTTTCTACCTCCATCCTCCTCCTCATGAAACGCAACTGATATTAGTCGATTCGTCTGCCACTGCCACCCGTGACCACCCCGCCCTCCCCCCACCACTCTACTACCGCCACCAACGACCATCCCTCTAAACCTCCCGACGATCAGATATTTCAGGCAAGCCACCGCACCCTACCCGTGCCTGTCAACCTGCTTCCTCGCCTCCGACTAGGATGTCACAGCTGGCTTACAGCTCGCTGCCGCTCACACCATCATCCTCGTCTCCAGCAGGGTCATGACTTAGCCTCGCCATCGACGTCGCAGTTTGCTGACTCGAGCTCCGACATGGCCCTCCTTCCTTCCTAAGCGAAGTAGACTTACAAAAAAAAAATCAAATGACTTAAATATAGCCTGTGCGTGTTTTTAAAAGTCTAGGTATTTACTTAGTACCCAATTAGTTTTGTGTGGACTAGCCTGTGAGGCAGGCAATTAACATGAGTAGACAAGCAAAAGGACAGAGAGTTTGACGAATTAGGCAGAGTAAAAACAATTTCGATTAAGACAAAACGGGCAGGCAGAGACCATGCATGAAGTCTCCGACGTCTAGGAGGCTGAGACCGACGTGGTGTCGCGCGCTCTAGCTTAGCTTAATTTTGGCGCGAAATTTCTGGTGCTTACTCTTGTCCTGTTGCTGGTTTGTTTTTCTCTCGTGGTGAATTACTAGGCACTACCGCACTAGTAGGCAGGCACAAACAGAAATGGCGCGTCTCCGGTGGCCAACGAAGCATCTTTGACCACGCTAATTGTTTGAATAGTTTTAGCTCGGTCCAGTTTGAAGATAAATTGCATGCATGCACATCGGTAGCAAGTCCATGAGTATGAAGCACCCTGCGACCGTGCAATGTTTTTCTATCTTGAAGCTCACACCCAAGGACCCAAGAACAGTAGCATGTCAGTTTTTTTTAACTTCTGATTCATTCATCAAACATCACGACAGTACAAAGAACACAATAAGTAACAAAAAAATACATTCATGTTTGTAGACCACCTAGTAATGACTATAAGCACTGGAGCAAGCTAAAGGCGCGCCGCCGTCATCGCTCCTCCCTCACAGGAGCCAGTCAAACCTTGTTATAGTAGACCGCCCAGAAATAGTCGTGCTAAGGCGTCAAAGGACCAACAAGCCAGAACAAACACGTCACCGATGAAGAGAAGCATAGATCAAATGGATCCAATCCATAGACACAGTAACACAGACGAGCGGAGACCAGATCCACCGAATACAAATATTAACTGAATCATGTGAGATCCACCGGAGACATATCTCCACACACCCTCCAACGACAAGACACACACCGTCGGGACGGGTGCTAGGCGAGAAAAACGTTATTCCATCTTCATAAAGCCGCCGCCGTCGCCTCTCTTCCTAAGCATGACACAAACCTTAAACATACTTAAGAAAACACCTAGAACGAAGCAGGAGGAAGCAGATTGGCGATGGCGCCGGTGGGAGGCGGGGAAACCCTAGCCCCGTGGGAGTCAATCATTTGGAAGGAGAAAAACATTCCTTGTAGCATGTTAGCATTATAGTGCATGAAACTTGAGCCACCATACTATTTTTTTTTGTGCTGGAAACCGGGAGCTTTATTAAGTTAAAACAAGATTACAATCTGTAGCTAGTACAACCGCTACATAACTTGGGACATCTTGAAACCAAACAATGGTTAGATGATCGCTCCTAATTGCAAATTTAGCCAAGAAATCCACAATCCCATTCCGAGTATGACTAGTCTTATCTAGCTTAAGTTGCCGATCTCCCCTGACTAACTCCTTCCCTTCCTCCACAAAATGACGGAGTTAGGGCCAATCAACCTTATTGTTTCTCAAAGCTAATACACCTCTGGCACTGTCCGTTTGAAGAATCATTAGTAGGGATGTGTGTTGAAATATATTGCCCGCCTTTCTTCATAAGTTTAGACTTTTGAAGCAACTAGCAGGTGTATGAATTCAATATGGTATCAGAGGCAAAAGGTCTTGAGTTGAAAATCCTACCGACACAGTATTAAAAAAAGATTTTGCGGCCTACGTCGATCCTATGTCTAAGGATTAAACAAGCCTAGACGTTAGGGAAAGTGTTGAAATATATTGCATGCCTCACTCCATCAATTAGAACTTTTGAAACAACTGACTGATGCATGAATTCAATAACATATGCTCAGTGGCTCTTTTTTAGAAGAACATGGAGGCCTCTCCCCGGTTTCATTAACCAGAATGAAACCATACAACGTCTTTGTTTGGAGAAAACTACTGAAACTAAGGTTCACCAGTTCAGACTAAAACAGAGAAATTACAGCCATGCTCGACGAGAGCCAAAGGACAAAACGAAAGCACACTGAAGACAAAATAGGCGCCTGTCAACCAGTGATCACACCACACAACCCGCTCGCTCCCCTTCTCTTGAGTGGTGGCACCAGGGCCGCCTGGGGCGACCAGCAGATTGCGAGGGTAGACATGGGGCTGTCCACCATGGTCTTGCCGTCGGTGTCACGCTTCTTGGTCGGAGAAGAGAAACCGCCGTCTTCAGAGATCTTGAGGTTGTCCCAGCATACCTCAGCATCCAATCCAAGGTTCTTCTTCAGCCACATGATATCATCAAGGGTTGCTGGAGTAGCTTTGCCAGCGCACTCAAGAACTCTTCCACGCGGGCTTTGCTTGTTTCTGGGATCAGAATCACCCAGAACTTGATCATCGGTGTATCAGTCTCCACACCTGATTAATAGATGTCCAAATGGTGTTATTAAAAATCATAGAGTTCCTATATTTCCATAAACACCAAAGGACAACAGAACTAAATACGTTCAAAGCTAAATTCTTTTTATTAGAGATCCAAAGTCGGGCCACAGATTCAAAGTTTGCACCCAAGTTCTTTTGGAAAAAGAGATTAACAAACAACTATATATTTTTGGCTACAACACAGTCAAAAAATAAATGATGGTTTGTTTCTTGCTCAACACAGAAGACACAATCAAGCGGTTTGATTATATGTATTTTCCTAAGGTTGTCTCTTGTCATCAGCTTATTTTGGGAAAAGAACCAAAGGAAGACATGAATCTTTGGGGGCACTGCCAGTTTCCAAATAGCTGGCAGAAACAGGGGTTGCACCCCTCTAAAGTTAATCACATGGTACAAAGAGCTAGAGGAGTAGACACCCTTATTCTCAAGTTGCCAGATCAGAGCATCAGAGTCACCATCGAAGATGATTTCTTTGGCAATCTCCATTAGCCGGTACCATTGCTCCATCAACTTACTATCAAAGTTCCTCCTAAAGGTCAACCTCAGCGTTTCACCATCCCAGACATCTTTGACACTTTTGTTTTGCTCATTACAAATCATATAGATGTGCCAGAATTGGACTTCTAGGGGGGAGGTGCCAAACCAAGTATCTTCCCAAAACCTAATCTTGTCTCATGTCCCTATTTTCCATCTATACCCAAATTTCAAAGTTTGGATAATGGATTTCACTCCTTTCCAGAACCTAGAGGTATTGGTGGAGGTGCTAGGGGCAAAAACATTAGTTTTGCCTCTCATGTATTTCTGGTCTATCATCATCTTCCAGGGT